TATTATTCCAACACTACTCTCTATACGTCTCCCTGTATGCGCTCATTCTCCTAACGGGGAATTATCTCAACAATGGTTCCACCAGCCTTAAAAGAGTTGGTGGTGGACTCCTTACTGAAGAGGGCCCTGGATGAAATGAATTACTTGGATTCTTTTTAGTCTGGATTCGGTTTGGGTTGTAATATAAAGATGGCATTGATAACACTGGTGGATGACCTATCATCAGGTCTCCAAGATAGACCAACTTGAAACCTACACAAGCTAATTACACAAGCTAATTCTATTTTTATTATAAGATTATAGTAACACAATCTTACATGCTATGTCATTTGACTCATTGCCTGAAAACTCTGGGGGTCTGGATGGGGAGGAACCAACTCCAGCTCAATGCTAGCAAAATGGAGTTGTTTTGAGTCTTGGATCTTTCTTTGTTATCTCTGACATTCAGTAATGTAAAACTTCCACAGGCCATGTCTGTGGGACTTCTAGCTCCAGCTTGGAAAACAGATGGAAGCTTCCATCTGTTTTCCAAGCAGGAGGCCTTTGCACAAGATATGCCTTTGCACAAGATATGCCAGTTGCACCCTTTTCTAGACAGGAGACCTTGCTCACACTCAGTCATGCCTTGGTCATTTCCTGGTGGACTATTGCATATATCATTTTATTATTGGCCATTCAGTGAGCGCTCTACTGAATATTTCTCTTGTTTGTTGCATGGCAGATATTGTACTCTAATTCTATATAGAATTCAAAATGTTCAAATGTCATAGAGACAAAAATGAAAAGTATACCAAGATGAATTGAGGATCTCTGTCCAGTGATACGAGGAGCCTTCAAACTATAATGAATATTCCTATTCCTTCTTCTCTTTTGTCCTAAATTTCCAGTTTATTCTCACATTAGTCCAGGTTTCTCCAAACTCTCAATATTTTTAATTTGTTATCTTGATGTAAAGTTCCTACATTGTTGAAGGACCTCAGTTTTGCATATGAAAACAAGTTTCATAATCAAAATGGGATACTTATGACATTCTATACTTGAAATATTTCAAAATTAATAATTATATCATGCTTTAAAATTCAACTTCTTAATGGTTTGCTGAATAGCTATTGTTGTTGCAGTTAGGCTTAAAGGTTCAGCAAAAGATTATAAATTGCATACTATCAGAAATGTTGTGATTGCTTTATGTTTCACTGTTATATTGTATTTGGCTTCTAATAACAAATTCTGAAACATTCCAGACAAGATCAAAACTTTGATCAATTTCACTGGGTTCAGGCTGGTGTCAAAAATCGGCCAAGAACACACAAAGCTGAGTTGTAGGCAAAAAACATGATCAAGGTCCACTACAGAAGTCAAGCAAAGGATTCATTATCAGCTGCCAAATTCACAGCAGTAAGCAGAACAACGTTGTCAGATCCAGACACATGTCAGGGTTTCCAGGATGTCAGGTGAAGCTTAGAGTTGAAGAAAAGCTGTCCAGAATTTGCTTCAATGTTTGATTGCTTTCAGACAAGAAAATAAGGGCTCTTGGCCCAATTGGTAACCCTAAACTTGGTTGCAGAAATTAGACTACTCAAATGTAATAATCTATCTCCAAATTAACCACTATTTTTGAAGTGCTCTTACAAACAATTTGACAACTTGAATCTTAGTATTGATGCTCTTGCTTTCATACAGTTGGGATAATTACATGGAGAATTCCATCAGCTCTTTACTTACCTTCTGCTCCTCCAACTCTCAGAAGAGAACTAATCTGAGAAAGCTATAACCCATTTTATTCCTATCCATTTATAAAGTAAAAACAGTTCATTTGCAAGCCTACT